TTCCGCTCGAAGACCGGCAACGCGTGGGAGGAGCGCGCGGCGTTCGACAAGAAGCCCAAGAAGTACCACCTGGTCAAGGTCGACGCCGAGCGCGAGCGCTCGATCGCCAACCTGCTCAAGCCCTTCGACGTCGAGATCGAAGACGACATCGTCGAACAGCAGCAGCCGACCAACAAGAACGCCAACAAGAATGACGCGCCCAAGTACCCGGCGTCGAAGCTGCCGGTGCCGCTGCAGCACGCGATCAAGGCCCTCACCGACTCGACGATGCTCACCCAGGCCATGCGGACCGCCGGTATCGACACGGACGCCATGCCGCTCGGTCGCCTCACCAAGGAGGACATCGAGGCCGCCAAGCAGATCCTCGCCGACATCCGCAAGCTCCTGCACAAGATCCACCCACCCGTACGTGTCGTGTGTCGTGTGTCGTGTGTGCGTGTGCGGTGTTGTGTGTGCGCACACGTGTGCGGTGGCTGATTTCGCGTGTGTTGTGTGTCACACAGGCGACTCCGGCGGCCGCGGAGGAGAAGGCAGACGAAGACGACGAGGAGGAGGAGAACGAAGACGAAGATGAGGAGAACGAAGACGAGGAGGACGAGGAGCGGCCCAAGAAGAAGAAGAAGACCGCGGCGGCCCCTGCCACCGCCACCGGCGGAGAGAAGCCGAAGGAGCTCACGCTCGACGAGGCCCGCGTGTTCTTCGAGCAGATCGCCGAGCTGAGCAACCGCTTCTACGAGCTCATCCCCCACGCCAACTACACCGTCGAGTCCATCCCGCCCCTCGACAACGAGAACCTCCTCAACGAAAAGGTGCGTGTCGTGTCGTGTCGTTTGCCGTTTGTCGTGTGTCGTGTGTCGTGTGTCGTGTCATGTGCGCGAGTGGCGTGTGTCTCACGAATGCGGATTTGAAAAAACAGTTCACGATGCTGGGCAACTTGGCCGAGATCCAGACGGCGTCCAAGATCCTGCTGGGCGCGCACTACCGCGCCAAGGAGCTCAACCCGCTCGACTACTGCTACTCGGCCATGAACATCCGCCTCAACGACATCGAGAAGTACGCACGACACACACGCACACAATGACACGACACGCACCGTTCGCACGCGCAGGTCTGACCGGCGTGTGCGAATTCTGCGTTTGATGGCCTGACAGGGAGACGGACGAGTACAAGACGCTCATGACGTACATCAAGAACACCGAACAGGGCGCCCTCCGAGGCAAGTTCATCACCAACATCTACAACCTCCAGCGCAAGGGCGAGCCCGAAAGGTATTTAAAAGACAACCACAACCGCCACGACACGCATGACACGACACGACACACGCTGACCGCACACGACACACAGGTTCCAGAAGTGGGAGGATTTGCACAACCACCAGCTGCTG